GTATATTTTCTGCAGTCCGACTGGCGTCTCATTTTAAAGAGGTTGTGTTTATCTTGTCTTCTCTTGAAGTTCTTGTCTTACAACTTCTGCTTCACCTGACCTTAGGGTGGTGTGTGTATGTGGGGGGGGGGGTACCATGCCCACCCCATCCCCCCTTTCCTTTCTCCTTTCCATCCCCCTTCCCCCTCTTCCAGAGTCCTTGTCTATCCTTCTCCTCCTCCTCCTCTTTCTGTTTCTCTTCCTCTCTCTATCCCTTCTCCTCTTCGTTGTCCTATCACACTATGTCTTTATCTCTTCTTTCTCTTCCTCCTCCTCCTCCTCCTCTTCTTCCTCTCCCTCTCCCTCTTTCCCTTTTTCCTCCTCCTCCCCCCTCTCCCTCCTCCTCCTCCTCCTCCTCTTCCTCCTCCTCCTCCCCTCCTCCTCCTCTCCTCCTCTTCCTCCTCCTCCTCCTCCTCCTCCTCCTCCTCCTCTCTCGGGCATGGTCGATTGGTCCCCGGTATTTGGCCAAATAAGGCGTTTTTCCTGCATCCAAACAAAGGTAGATTTTTAGTGCGTGTGTTTGTTTAGTCTCTGGGTAAAGTTGGGTGTGTGTTTGTTTCGTTAGTGCGGCCTCAAGAGCTGTACGAATAATTTGTTGTTGTTGTTTTTTATGTTTTCAACAAGGATAACTTATTTTGTATTTATTGGTAGTTCTTTTTTTTTTTTTATTTGTTTTCAGATGTTGGAGATATATGGTCATAATAATTCGAATAATAATAAAATAATCATAATGAATCGGGTTAGGAGAGGTCAAGGTAGGTTAGGGTAACGTAGGTCTGGGTAAGGTAGGTTCGGTTAGCTGAGGGCAACGGAGGTCAAGATAGGTTAGGTTAGGGTAGCATAGGTCAAGGTAGGTTAGGGTAGGGGTAACGTAGGTCAAGATTGGTTAGGTTAAGGTAGCATAGGTCAAGGTAGGTTAGGATAGGGGGGCATAGGTCAAGGTAGTTTAGGGTAGGGTAACGTAGGTCAAGATAGGTTAAGATAGGGGAGCATAGGTCAAGGTAGGTTTAGGGTAGGGTAACGTAGGTCAAAATAGGTTTAGGATAGGGAGCATAGGTCAAGGTAGGTTAGGTTAGGGTAGCATAGGTCAAGGTAGGTTAGGTTAGGTCAAGTTTTGGATTTATTTTATTTCATTTAGTCATTCTCCAAATACGTTTAGATTAAATTAAAACGTCGAAAAAGAAAAAGAAGGACGAAAAAGGAGAAACATCTCTTAAGACATGATTGTATTTTTTTCCCAAGACATGATTGTATTTTATCTCAAGACATGATTGTATTTTATCTCAAGACATGATTGTATTTTATCTCAAGACATGATTGTATTTTTGACCAAAAACGTAAGATGAAAAAGATGCAATGCGATAACTTTGGGGATTACTCGGTTGTGGAATCTGCGTGGGTTGTGTGGCGGGACGTGGATCTGCGGTCGCACACGCGCACACACACACACACACACACACACACACACACACACACACAACACACACACACACACACACACACACACACACACACACACACACACACACACACACATACAAGCACAATCCAACATATCACAGTACAACACATATAAAACAATATTTCAATAACATCAATAACAACAACAGCAACACAGCACTCCCCCTCCCTCTCCTTTCCTCCTTCCTCCTCACAAGAAATCCCCCAACAACAACAACAACAACAACAAAAACATTTCAATAACAACAACAGCACCACGCCACCCCTCCCCACCCCCTCACCCTCACAAACCCCCCCACCCATCCGCCATTTCCCCCTAAACAGCAACTCAGCACTCCCACCCCCTCCCCTCCCTCCTCACAGAAACCCCCATACAACAACAACAAAACAACAAAATTTCAATAACAACAACAAGGAGGAGGGAAAGAGGTAAGAAGAGGGGAGAGGGTTTGGGGGAAGGAGAGGAGGGTTGGAGGGGAAAGGGGAGGGAGATTGAAGAGAAGATAAGAAGGCGAGACAGATAGAGAAAAACACATTTTTAGACAGACAGGGCAGACAAACAGTCTAGCAGATAGACAGATACATTTAAAAGAGAGAAGAGAAGAGAAAAGATAAAAAAAACAAAAAAATAACAAGCCTTTTCTTCCCAAAATGGAAAAAGAAAAATTACAAACCACAACAAAACCCGCGCTGAAGAAGGGGAAAATATCCTTTTTTAAAAGTACGACACGAAGACAGGTATCCAGCCCTCGCAAGGTGCCGCCCACTCGCCTCCACGACGCCCACCATCTGTCCTGTGTCTTCCCTCCTCTCCTCACCGCCCCCCCATCGCCTCTCTCCCCTACTCAGCGCCCCTCCCCACCCCTTGCCCTTCACCCCTCCCCTGGTCCCTCTCCCCTACTCGATACGTAATCATGGGATCTTCAGCGCCCCCCACTCCCACCCCTTCCCCTTCACCCCCCTCGCCCCTCTCCCCTATTCAAAAACGCCATCATGGGATCTTCAGCGCCCCTCCCCGCCCCGTCACCCCCCCCCTCGCCCCTCTCCCCTACTCAAAACGCCATCCATGGGATCTTCAGCGCCCCTCCCCTCCCCCCACCCCTTCCCCTTCAGCCCCCCCTCTCCCCTACTCGATACGCCATCAGCGCCTCCCCCCCACCCCTTCCCCTTCACCCCCTCTTTAAAGACGTCATCCATGATCTCAAGGTCACGTGACGACGTGACGACCAGCGTGTGACGGCTCGAAGGCACTCGTCGCCGCTGCACGAGGGGGGGGGGGGAATTTCGAAGGGGAATTGTTTGTTTTGGTTACGGATGTTACGGAGTGTCCCTGCCTGTCTCCCTCCTCTCCCCCCCTACCCTCTTTTCCCCTCCCTTCACCAGTCTTTTTTTTCCCTCTTTGTCTCCTCCCCATCCTCTTTTCCCCTCTCTCTCTTCGTTTCTCCTTCTTCTCTCTCCATCATCTTTTCTCCCCTTTTCTCTCCCCAGCATCTTTTCGCCTCTCGCTCTCCCTCCCCTCATCTCCCCCCCCCCTCTCTCCCCTCCCCCATCATCATCCTAAAAAAGGGGAAAAAAAGGACAGAAAGTGACTGAACTCAGGCAAGTGTGTGTGTGTGTGTGGTGTGTGTGTGTGTGTGTGTGTGTGTGTGGTGTGTTGTGTGTGTGTTGTGTGTGTGTGTGTGTGTGTGTGTGTTGTGTGTGTGTGAGAGAGAGAGTGAGAGAGAGAGAGAGAGAGAAGAGAGAGAGAGAGAGAGAGAGAGAGAGAGAGAGAGAGAGAGAGAGAGAGAGAGGAGAGAGAGAGAGATGGAGTGACAAGATCTTCCATTTCTTCAGATTCCTTCATACTCCGCCAAATTTATAAAAGACACTTCAAAAAGCGAAAGGAATTACATGCGCAAAATAATAATGATAATAATAATGATAATTGTAATGAAGATAATGATATGATAATGATAATGATAATAATAATGATAATGATAATAATGATAATGATAATAATAATATGATAATGATAATGATGATAATGATGATGAATAATGGTAGTAATAGTAATGATAATTATGGTGATAATAAGAATAATATCAACAATATAACAATTATAATAAAAAGAAAGACAGAAAAACGAAAACAAATCAAGAAAAGCAATAATCAAGATAAGAAAGAAACGCGAGACAAAATGACCTGAAGATGGTATTGAAGGAGCAGGAGGAGCCAAGGCGAGGACTGCATGCACTATAAGCTTATCGGAACGTGGGTCTCCTCAAGCAGTAGCTCGATGCCTGCGTCGGGATGTGCTTGGGTTCGAGGAGTAGGGGGGGAGAGAGGGGGGGGCAGAGGAACTGGGGAGAGGGGAGTGACAGGGGAGGGGGTGGCATGGGAGAGGGAGTAGGTAGGGGGAGGGGGGCAGAGGATTGGGGAGAGGGAGTGGACAGGGAGGGGGTGGCATGGGAGAGGGGAGTAGGTGGGGGAGGGGAGAGCACTGGGGTGAGGGAGTGACAGGGGAGGGGATGGCATGGGAGAGGGTAGAGGTGAGAAGACGGGGTAGGGGGCAGGGAAGAGGGGTGAGAGATGAGCACGGGGGAGAGGGGTGTAGGTGGGGGGAGGTGACAGGGGAGAGGGGAGCACGGGGGAGGGAGGGACAGGGAGAGAGAGGGAGGGCACTGAGGCCTTCAGTGGTTGACGCTGATGGTCGCCAGATGGCTTTGAGGACGGGGAAGGGAGAGAGAGAGAGAGAGAGAGAGAGGAGAGAGAGAGAGAGAGAGAGGAGAGAGGAGAGAGAGAGAGAGAGAGAGAGAGAGAGAGAGAGAGACAGAGACAGAGACAGAGACGAGAGAGAGAGAGAGAGAGAGAGAGAGAGGAGAGAGAAGAGAGAGAGGAGAGAGAGAGAGAGAGGAGAGGAGAGAGGAGACGAGAGAGAGAGAGAGAGGAAAGAAAGAGATTACCTGCGATAAGAGAACAAAGATGTGTTCGTAATTATCGAGATTGTTCGATAAGAACTATTTACAGTTTATCAGTCTTTGCTTTGCTTTTTATTTTTTCTATCTTTTTTTTAACATTAATCATTGTCTTTAAGAAACCATAAAGATATAATTTTAAAGTGTCATCAAACGAGCAAATAGAAAATAATTAATGCTTTTTATTTTAAGCGGGTAATAATGTTTTTTATATTATAAATAAACATAAACCGATTTTTAACATTCTATCTAAAACTTCTATTCTAACCCCTCCCTCTTCCCTCCCCCCTCTCCTCCTCCCCCTCTTCCTTCCCACACTTTGTCCCTCCCAGCGCTCACCCTCTCCACCCCCCCTTCCTTGTCTGGTGCCTCCTCTCCCTC